ATTCCCACCAGCAGTGGAGGAGGGTTCCCCTTTCTCCACATCCTCTCCAGCATGTGTTGTCACTTGAGTTCTTGATCTTGGGCTGAAGGACTTATAAAGAGGTTTATGAGGTTCACAATTCTGGAGACTAGAAGAACCAAACAGCATGGTACAGTTGGTGAAGGCTCCCTGCTACAGTACAACACAGGTGTAAAGAGTGAAGGAACCAGAACACAGAAGGGGGATTAGCTTGACAAGGAACCAAGTGGTAGAGAAAGTCAAGGCCTGCTCTTGATGACAGCCCTCCCAGCACAGGAATAAATCTCCTCTTTGAGGCACAGGAATCAAACCCGGTGCCTATGCCTGCTGTATGCTAAGCACTCTATCACATAGCTGTATCCCTAGTCATCTTTTTATTTTACTTTTTCATTTTCAAAAAAGGATCTTGCTAAGTTACCCAAGCTAAGCTTTGAAATCACTGTAATTTAGGGCAGGCCTTGAACTTGGGATCTACTTGCCTAAGCCTCCTGAGTAACTAGGATTATAGATTTATACCACCAGGTCCAGCATGAATCCACTCCCATGAACCACTACCACAAACCGATGTTAATCCATTCATAAGCTTTGAGCCCTCATGACCTAATTTCCTTACACTAAGCCCACTCTTAAAGGGTCTACTGCTTTCACAGTTCGATAATAGGGACCAAGCACTCAGCACAAGAACCTGAGACACTTCCCATGGTAAGGAGAACAGGGACTATTTCTGACAGGAACTCAATGGCAGGCTCTTTGACTTCCCCACACCCCAAGGGAGAAGTCCTGCTGGGCCACAGAGGAGGACTTTGCAGCCAGTCCCGAAGATACCTGATAAAACAGGGTCAGATGAAAGGGGAGGAGATCCTCCCCAAGCAGTGGACTTGGAAAGGAGCAGGGAGGAGATGAGGGAGGGAGGGTAAGGTTGGGAGGGAATGAGGGAGCAGGATATAGCTGGGATACAGAGTCAATAAAATGTAACTAATAATAATAAAAAAAAATAAAAAAAGAACCTGAGACACAAGCTATATCTAAAAAGCAGAAATAATAAACATTTTCTTTAAGCAATCAAAAGACGCACTCTTTCTTCTGGAAAATTATCCTCTTCTCTGGCTGGAGTTAGAACCTCCCCAGACCTACCAGAACAATATATAAAATGCAGCTAGATCAACAGGTATTCTGAAAACCAAAGAGCAAGTCAAACTGAATTCTGCCCCTGAGCAAAGATGAAACACAGCAGGCCTATGAACTGTGTTTCCGACACGTGGGGACAGGAGATCGGAGAAGAAAATATTGCCAAAGAGAAAGAGAGAGAGAGATAAGAAGACAACTGCAAAAGCAGTAGTTCTGGGAGACCACAACTCTTCCACACTCACAACGATCCTCCCGTTTTAATTAAATTGATTTGAACTATATCTGTAGTGTACAGCCAAAAGAATTCTAACCTGCTATAGGAAACGGTCCTCACCTCATTGTGATCAAGTGCACTCAAGACTCAAGTTTCTATTTACTCATATAAATGAATTTGTTTTTCTTCCCTCTTGTACATCAGGAGGAAAAGAGGTCTACACAAAAGCTTACATTAAAATTTTAGTGAATGTTAATAAGCTTTAGATAAAAATGGAGTCCCAGCCTGTGCAATGACATCTTCTCTACATGTTCAGGCTAGAGCTAACGTATATACAACTTCATGGCCACAAAACTGGTCTGAAGAAATAGGATGCAAACCACAAGTGAACAACAACTGTGTGCTATCTAGTCTTGTCAATTCGACACAAGCTAGGATTATTGGAGAAGGAATTGCAAATGAGAAAACCGCTCTGTCACACTGGCCTGTAGGCAAGTCTGTCCGGTATTTTCTTAGTTAGTGGTTGATATGAGAGAGCCCCATCCACTGAGGGTACTGCCAGTCCTAGGCGGATGGTCCTGGAGTATATAAGAAAGCAGCATCAGCAAGCCAGGCAGATCAAGCCAATCAACAGCAGCCCTCCACCATGTCCGCTTCAGTTCCTGCCTCCGTGTTCCTGCTCTGAGGGTCTGCCCTGACTTCCCTCAGTGACAGAGTCACCTGGGAGGTATACGATGAACTAAAACCTTCCCTCCCCCTAAGTTGTCTGTGGTCAGTGTTTATCACAGCAACAAAAACTAAAGTAGAAAACAAAACAAAACAGAACTTTCAAATTTCTAGTGGCCACATTAAAAATGAAAGTGAAACAAATAAATTCAGTTTCGCACTGTCTCTCCTTTACCTCATAGATATAAAGTTCTGCTGCTTCAGTGTGGAGCCCGGAAGATTTTCTTTCTGCTACATGCTTGCTAGGCTTTGCATCTTAAATTTTCCCAGTGTTGGCTCACTGTGTGATCCAGCACAGAAATACAATGTTTCAATCTTTCCAGCAATATAAAGACAAGCTTTCTGTAGTTATAAATGAGAAAAGTAAACTTCACGGAATAAACATTTTTTTTTCTAAGTACAACTAATCAGCACAGGGCCTAGAAGACAACCTTGACCCTGGCCCCTGCCTCTGAAGCTCTGCACCTCACTGTAGGCCACAGAGTGAGAGCCATGTTCAACACGATCTGAAACTCAACCACATCAAAGCAATGCAGGGGCTAAGGCCTCGCCCATACAATACGGCTCCTAGACATGAGGATTCTATTTCTTTTTGGATCACAGAGAGCCTTTCGTGAAAATAATCTCCAAATCCACGTTTCTCTGTGTGTGCAGATTCATGAATGGAATTCATTACTGTCACTAAGACATGTCTTCCCGCTACCACATACTCTCTAGTCTGCAAGGTAGAGAGTTATGTTCACAAAGCTGAATGTATGTGTGCACGCATTCATATGATATTCATGTACATACACAAGGGGAGGGGGGAGAGAGTCTTGCCATGGCTGTATTTCCAAAATAGGTAGAATAGTAAGTATACCTTTTGATAAAGTATTTGGCCTTCAGCTTCTAAAGCAGGTTTAAAGCAATAAAGGATAGAAATTTCTTTGTTATGATGCTGCAGCACCTCTCTCTGACCTTCTACCTTCCTTTTGTCTGTTCTTTTTCTCCTGAAGGTTCCCTGTGAAAACTAGGATTTTTTTCTTCAACAAGTCAAGATTACTAAAAGTGTATATAACCTTCCCCTGCTTTTCCTGTCTTACACATGGCCAGAAAGACATTCTTGGCCTCCCTTAGCTAGAAATAGATCCCAAGAGCTTCATTCCATGTGAGGTCCTGCCCCATACCAGAGAGGAAGGCACAGTGCACATAGGGGCCACAAAGAATCTGACCAGACAGGCTGTGCTGGCTTTCTCGCTGTGGTAGAGCATTAGCATTTAACCTTCTGTCCAGTCCCATTGGTACACAGTTGCCCATGCTTCAGCCATGCCTTTGCAATGACTGAATTCATAAAATCTCAGTGGGAATGTTCAGAGTGCTTCTTGGAACCTGTGGAGACCCAGGAAAGTGAGGAGGAACTGCTGCACATCCCAGCGGCAGCCAGGCGCCTGCCAGATGGTTCCATCCATGTCTTCATAGAGATCCTTATTTGTGGACTTACAATAAGCCAATAAATGTCTTCCCCCGAGTTCTGCGAGCCACCCTAGCAAATGAACTAAGCCAAACCAGGGAGTTGTAGGAAGCTGCCTGTAGCCAGCTCGTCAGAAACCTTGAGGTCTGGACTCCGACCGATGTCTGACTAGTCCTGTGCGACTGAGCCCTTACTATTTGAGACCCAATGCAGCTCACAAGCAGGCATGGGCAGAACTGAGTTGAATTCTGCTGTGGAATTGATTGTTTGCTAACTGGTGATAAGAGGGCCCATGCATTTTGAAATCTTGGCAGCGGTACATGCTACAGTAGGAGAGCATACAACACAGAAAAAAAAATGAAGTTTGCCTTTTCTCACTATCACTGGACCCACCAAAGTGCCTAGACTGAAGCCCTAACCATCTAATAGGCACATGTTAGTGATGGGGACCTTCAGAAAGAAATTGGATTAAGATGAGGTCACGTAGGATGAATGCTCAGCCCTAACAAGACATTTAGACAATCTCATCTAAGGCTTAAGGAATATCATGGAGGAGAGGTTAGAAAGAATGTAGTAGCCAAAATACAGGGAGAAGACTTGAAATCAGCCATTGAAGTCCTGAACTCACAGCAGCTGTAGCTGCCTGTGTTGATCCAGCACAAGAATGTTCCCATTAGCAGTCAAGCAGGGATGGGGCTGGACTCAGGATGCTCTGCCACTCAATGCTGTACAGTTTGCTACTTATAAGATTCAGCAAGAGGGGGAACAGTTGCCTTCAATTGTGTGGCCGCTGATGAACCCACCAAATTCCAATGGAGAGTGTCAATCCAGTGGTTACAGACGTGTCTCTAAACTGACCATGAGACAAAACCAAAAGTAAAAAAGTCTAGGAAAAGGACTGGAAGAGAGGAGGAGGAATTGACAAGAATGGTAGGAGAGAAGAGAGGATGTGATAGCCAGGAGGTGGTGGCACACGCCTTTAATCTCAATGCTCAGGAGGCAGAGGCAGCCAGAACTCTGGGAGTTGGAGGCCAGCCTGGTCTACAGAGTGAGCTCCAAGATAGCCAGGACCAGGACTACACAGGGAAATCCATCTCAAAAAGAGAGATAGAGAGAGAGAGATGTGGAATGAGAAAGAAAGAGAGTAATCAGGATACATTCTAAGTGTATATGAAATATAAAGTCAATTTTTAAAATATTATTTAAAAATGATACGGTCACTAGGGCAGGAGCCTTATGAAGGCTAAATATTTTAGTAACCCTAAAATATCAAAAAGATCAAAGCTTTCCAACATGTGAGGACACAGAGAGGGAAAGACATGCAGTCTTCCGGTCATTTTGTGCTGTCTGGCTGCCCTCAGCTAAGTGGATGGCACCTGCCTAAGTCGAGGGCAGAGCCTCCTCTTCACTGGTCAGTAACTCAAATGCCACAGGACACAGACACACCCCACAACAACGCTTTACCAGTTCTCCGGGTAATCCTCACTCCAGCCAAGTTGACACCATCACAGAGATGAGAGATCTTTACACTGAAAAGAAATTGGAGAAGACACAAATAAATGGAAATAAATCCTGTGCTTTAATGCTTCTCAAGCGTCCACCAATCAAAGCAAGTCACAGTAGCACTAACCATAGGAAGAGAAAAATAATCCTAAAATTCATTCAAAATTCACTAAGGATCTCAAATAGGCAAAGCAATCTAAAGCAAAAAGAACAAAGCTAGAGTCATCATAGCATTTAATTTTAAAATACAGTACAAAGCTATAGTCACAAACCACATAATACTGACACGAAACTGACTTGTAGACTGACAGGACAGACTAGAGAGTCCAGACACAAATCCACACACTTAGGGCCCCTGACTTTCAACCAAGGTGCCATGAACACACAATGGGGAAAGAGTAAGAAAACAAATGATCAATTAAAAATAGACATTCCTCGAAAGAAGACATACAAATGGCCAACAGGTATGTGGACAGATGCTCGATATCTCTCATCATCAGGGTAACACAAATCAAAGCCACGGTGGGCTATCACCTCAGCCTTAGAAGAGCTACTACCAAAACAAGATAAATGGTACATGTTGACAAAGAATGTAGGAAAAAGACAATACACACACACACTGTGGGTAGAAATATAAGTTAACATAGCTATTGTGGAAAATCTTTAGAGGCTCCAGAATTAAAAATGTAGCAATTACATGATCCAGAACCCCCACAATTTGGTATGTATTCAAATGAAATAAAATCAATATGTCAAACAAATAACTTCACTCTCATATTTATGGGAGTATTGTTTATAACAGCTAAGATACTGAATTTAAAAAAGTGTCATCTGAAACGCGATGAAGAAAGTGTAGTGTGCATACACAATGGAATACTAGTTAGCTATGAAAGAAAAGAAAATCCCATCATTTGGGAACCGGAGGATGTTATGTTAAGTGAACTGAGCCAGGCACAGACACAAATGCCTCATGGTCTCGCACATGGGGAACTTAACAGTTGATACAGAGGGTAAAACGGTGATTATCAGAGGCTGTGGTGTGGAGTGAAGTGGGTGTGGAGAAATGTTAGTCAGAGGGACATAATTACAGGGATAAGTTTAAGAAGTCACTGAAAGGCACTGTGACCATTGTCAATGGTGGCTTATTATAGTCTTGAAAAATACAGAAACAGTATACTTGTGTTCTCATCACAAAGTGATAATTATGTGAGTGATAAAGTGATATCACAAATGATAATGCAATTCTTTATTAGCTGGAATTGACCATTGCATAACACACACATATATATATAAATGTCATCTCCTATATTATATTATATTATATTATATTATATTATATTATATTATATTA